TGCCCAGGAGACTTGGCCTCCCACAAACAGGACTCAGCCAGCAACCTCGTTATTTATGAATTTATATGTCAACCCCTCAGACAGTAAGCCACCTAGGTACAAGGGAGCCCCTTATCCTGAGAGATGGAGGGAAGACAGGAGAGTCAGAGCCGAGGCAGCAGAGACACCCGAAGGTCAGAGGTCATCCATCAGACACGCTTGGCATGAGTGGGGAATGACGCACAGCAATAAACTGCAGGGGGAAAGACAGGGCACAGTGTGAACGCCAACCCATGGTGGCTGCCCATCTGCCACATCCTCCTCTGAGGTCCCTGGAGATGTAACACTGCACCATCACCATGGGCCAAACTGCGCCATTTCTGCTTCCCCACTTCCTGGCTGCCTTTTCCGGTCCTGCACATAGCATGCCGACTCCTCCAGCAGCCACCTGGTAAATGTCCCGCCACTCACTAGACCAGCCTGTCACTTGGGGCAGCCAGCCATGAGCTGGCAGGAAAGGCCCATGCAGAAGGGACATGTAGTAAACAGCACAGCACTGTCCCATGGTGCCTTCAAGGTCACGTGGCTGGACTTGGGACAGCAATCCTGGGGCCGGCTGTGGTCCCCGAGTCTCATCGTCTTCCCCAAGGAGAGGAGGAGGCTCAGCATGTGGACGGGGCACCATGGGGGCAGTGGCTGAATGTTCTGGAAGGCCTTGGGGGGTTACAGGAGGGTTGTGTGGGTGTATATCAACTCCTGGGCACAGTTCAGAAAATGTTCTCTGGGAAGGATATTTAACTAAAGCCTTATTTTTAAACAAAAATTCTGTACTATTCTTGAGAACTCAAGATATTTGTGACCAATTTTGGGGGAGAACTTAAATTCACATGGATTCAGCAGTTCTCCTAACTTTTGACACTAATAAAAAAGAAGAAGAAAAAAATTATGCTCTGCCTGACTGCATGTTGCAAGTTACAGCTGCGTGCGCAGCAGCTCCTGAAAACCCAAGTGAGGCGTCCTCAGCTCTCACTGCAGCGGCACTTGTCACCGGCAGCCAAACTGCTAAGGGCCGAGACAGTGGAACCCGAAGGTGTGAGCAGGCCCTGTGTGCTCAGCCTCCCACTATCACAGCACAGGTCAGTATCCTTGCAACAGGAGCTTGGGGGAGGGGAGTGGGGAGGAAAATGAAGAAAAATGTGAAGCAGAAAGCCTAGCCCTGGACGTGTCTCTTGATCACAGGCATGGCTGACTCTGTGCCATCTATGGTTCTGACCATGGCTGGTGCATGAGTTCACACACACTCAGCCTGGGCTGCTGACTGCCCCGTCTCCTTGCACGCGGACACATGTCTCCCAGGCCTAAGGCCAAGGTGCCCTTGAGTTGGTGTCAGCTGTCGAGGGCAGTGCTGGGAGCAGGCACGTGTGGCCTGCTGCTCCTTGAGTAGCAATGACCTCGAGTGGCCAGCCATCGTAAAATGAGGCCAAACAACTGGGCGACGAGGACCTTCTGGTGTCTGCCCTCTGCTGGGTAATGCCATTTCTCTAACTGCAAGGTTCTACAGTTGAACGACATCTGTGCTTTCCCGGACTGTCAGGTGCATCCTGCTCCCGAGCTGCCATGGGTTCTCTAATTATTGCTCAGTTTGGGCACATAGTGCCTTGTAAATAAAGGGCTTCTTAAGGGATAGACACAAAAGCAGTAAGTTCCTAGGGATTTTCCTTTCATGCTGCATGTAGGAACATTCACTGCTTAGTCCACGTTGGCTAAACTCCATGGCTCTCAAGGCACAGCTGCAACAGGCAGCAAATGCAGTTTGTTTTCCCCATGTAGTTTTGTACAGGGACCCATCCTGTACAATTTCCTGCCACTTTGCAAACAGGGCTGCTCATTCTCCCTCCATTTCCTGTCCTCTCTCCTATCCAAGGGTGCGATGCCCTCCTGTGCTTGTGCTGAGCCCCGCACGCCTAGAGGCTTCAGGGGTGCTTCAGGATGAACAAGACCCAGAGGATGGGGTATGGGCTGCAGAGCCCACAGGAAAGGGGCTGGGTGTGGGCTTATGTTTTAAACAGAGGCATCAGGCAATGTGACAGGGTGGCCATTGGCCACATTCCCTGTAGTTGCATTCCCTGTGCTGGCCAGCAGGGGCTGGAATCTCTGCTGCTCTGTGGTCACTTGCTCCAAGGTGAATCCCAGTCAGAGGCTCCCTGTGCATGGGTCACTGCTCTCATTCCTGATGGCTGTTGAATGGTTCCCACCCTAAGTCTACCCTGGAGAACTGTCTGGTCAAGTTCTTGAAGAGGTGACACTGCTGTGTACATTGAGAATCCATCTTTTGGACACACAAGATGGCTATTGCTGCCGGTCATGGTGCAGGAGGAGCCCTCCCAGTGTCACATCACAACCCTTTAGTAACCACCCCAGGAAAACGTGTCTGGAAATGACTATCATTGGGTAGGTTGAGTTAAACAGCTCCAAGCCAATTATGGAGGTGTGGTGTGATCTTTAAATCTCCAGGGTCTCCTAATCGGAGTAATTAATTGATAACTTGGTAGTAGTGTAATTAGTGTCAGCACAGCAAATTCTCCACACAAACAACCTAATGCAACCAATGGGGCAAGCTCTGTTATGGCGAATGCCCTAGTAATAAGCGTCAGCACAGCAAGCTTGTTAGAAAGTTACAGTGCAGAATCCACAGGCACACAAGGTGTACCATTTACACACACGGAACACATGTGTCCACAGGCACACATGGAGCACATGTGTCCAGGCACACAAGGTGTACCATTTACACACACGCGGAGCACACGTGCTCAGGCACACAAGGTGTACCTTTTACACACATGTAGAGCACACGTGTCTAGGCACACAAGGTGTACCATTTACACACATGGAACACATGTGTCCAGGCACACAAGGTGTACCATTTACACACACGCGGAGCACACGTGTCCAGGCACACAAGGTGTACCATTTACACACACGCAGAGCACACGTGTCCAGGCACACAAGGTGTACCATTTATACACACGGAACACACGTGTCCACAGGCACACATGGAGCACACGTGTCCACAACTCGATATCCACAGGCTAAGGAGGAAGCCCACGTGCAGAGACAATGATTAAAGAGCACTATTCCTCACGCGCAGCACCAAGTCCCCCAGCTATGACCTTAGGAGCACACACTTACTGCTTTCCTCCCAGACACATATCAGGTGTCCCAACCATGGTAACACAACTGACACCTCCTGTGCCAGCCACAAGTGGGCAGCACCGTCCTGGGGTCAGATCAAGGAGGGGTACCTGATGTTGGCACCACGCAGATGCAGGCACAGATCACAAGTGAAAGAAAGGACGCTGTCTTACTGACCAAACCTCAAATTGGAGAAGCCAAGTTGTGCACTGCTGCTGGGGGAGGAGGTCCTTGGTTCAGCACAGCCAACCGCAGACTGGTGTGTCTGCTCTTCAGGAAGCCCAGGCTGGTCGCTTGTGTGTCCAGTACACATGAGGCACGGAGCGGGGGCAGGGATTTGTGGCACCTCCATGGCCTGTAAGGCACTGGCTCAGTTCTCAAGGTTAGTGCTTGCAGCACAGTTCCTCCTGGACACCAGAGAGAGGAGGCTGGGCAAGGGGCCTCTGGGCCTGGACGTGAACTTAGCAGAATGAGACCATGACAGAGTGTGTCTGGTCCCCAGTGAGCTCTGCACTAGGAGCGCCTAGGCGGTCTCCTGGCCAGGAGCCAAGTCCCACAGGGCACCTGAGTTGCAGGGGAAGCCCTGCCTCCTGGACCCTATGCCGCCACTTTCTGGCTGCTGGATGCCAGTGCCTAGCAGACACAGGCCACCAGTTCAGCCCAGGCAGGCAGCAGGTCAGACCAGGCCATGTCCTGCTCGTCCTCCTCTGCAGCAGCCACTGGACTCAGGGTCTCGTGGCCACCCTATGACTGCCAATGCGATGCACTCAGCTTCACGTTTCATTTGTTGCTTTTCTGTCACTTGGTCCCAGGGCATGAGAGCAAGGATGCAGCAGAGAGGAATAGCCCGGGAAGCCACCGGCCATGCTACGTGGGGCTTACAACCCATCCCTCCAGACAAGAAAGGGCTCCAAAGCCATCTCCACAGGTGCCACCTCTCCCTGACACAACCCTTCACTTTTAAGTCTCTGTAAGAACGGCCATGTACTCAGAAGCATTGGCCTTATCAAGGGGACTCGGAGTGCTGAAGGGTGGGAAAGAAGTGCTAGGTGTGGAGGTAGGGACTGGGACTGCTTCCCAGAGAGCACTATGGCCAACCCAATCACGGCCTTTTCAGTGGGAAGCAGGTAGTGGTCACAGACGATGTGGGCCAAGGGCACAACGGTGCCAGCTGCCAAGGGGAGGACATGTACACCTGGATACTGAGTGACTGTGGGGGACAAGCAGGAGCAGTCACAGCCGATGTGCCTGGGAGACCATGTGAATACAGCTGGGTAAGTGTGCGCTCAAGAATGCTACATCTGTAGCTGCTTCAGAAAGTGTGCGGGAAAATGCAACTATAAAATGAGCTCATCTTGTTGCAAGAAAATTTTGAAATACATATACAATTTTTTCATACCACTAATTCTCCATAAACTTTCTGCAGGGTCCTCAGAAGATGCCCTTGAAGTGTGGAAGAAATCCAAGGAACATAGGGGACAGCTTGAATTCTGCCCTTGCTGGATTCCAACCCAGTGACAAAGGCTGTCTCTCCTGCTCCTTGGTGCCGAGACCACTGACTGCCTTGCAGGTCAGGGGTACCGGGTCCTGAGCCTAACCATCCTCTTGGGCAGCCATGCCATGCGCCTGCTGCTCTCCTGAGCCCAGCAGGTCACACCTGGCCCCTTGTTCCTGCCCACACAGCTGCACTCCTGCACAGGTCTCTGGTTCCGAGCACTGCATTCAACACTGAAAAGACAGCTGCACAGGAGGGCACAGGCGCCCACAATAAGGAACGGGACACGTGGAGACCAGAGGGATGACCAGCACACGGCCGGGTGGGCACGTACGTGTGGACCTCAGGTCCGAGGCCTCGGAACCGGTGCCTTCCCCGGGAACGCCAAGAGGCTCCACTGCGTCTGTGTCTGGAGGAGGGTAGGGCGGGGGTGGGGGCAGCACTAACTGGGGTAGGCCTCGGGCAGAGCCCCTGGGAGGCTTCTGTGGCACCTGCCGTCCAATGCCTGCATGGAACCAACAGGAAGTGAGTTCAGACATGAAACTGCAAGGCTCCCTGTCTTCCAACACATAGGGTACCCCACATCCCTTGGGCCAGGCAGCAAACAGCAAACCTAGCTGTGATCCACAAACTGCAGCCTCGCTCTCTAGGGCTCGCTTCACATACGCTCACACACAATGTCTAACACCAACAGTAACCAGCACCTAACCCAGCCACACCCAGGCTTCCACACTTCACACATGGTGTGTTCTACCTCCAGCCAATTTAGGAACACCTACCTGGCTGCTGGCTTCCAGCAGGCACAGGTACACACAGGCTGTTCTGGGAAACTGCCCAGCCCCCTACACAGCTCAGTCCAGCTGACACAAAAGAAGCCCCTGTAGCCTGAGTTCCAGGGCTGCTCATCAGCCACCTCCATCTGCTTTAACCACTGTGTTGACTGGCTCTGACAGCCAAACCATCCAGTGACTGTTCTCTTCCGGGTCTGTACAGGCTGTGTACTGTCTTGCTACTCAGGGCAAGAGTTAGCAGTCTAACCTGGAGGGCTCCTGAGTTTCAGCTGGGGGTAGTGATCGGCACTGCTCCACTTCACCACTTGGGTAGTTGAAACTTGCCGAATGTGGAATTTTGCCCAAATTTCTTGGAGAGGAATAGCCAGCCTTGGAGGGATTGTGCCTGGCCTTGGGCCTCGCTCATGCAGCCCCTGAGATGTAAGGTATCTTACTGGGCTGATGCTGGCTTGCTCTCTGAGGGAGCAAATGGTGCTCTCATCCAGGGAACCTTTTTTCTCATTTTTATTCAACCAAAAGCCTTGACTTTGGCCAAAAGTTTTACATTTGTGGGCATATTTTAGGGGCATGGAGTTGGACTTGAAACTGTCAGCACAACCTTCTCCATTATCCCTGCCCTTGAAAAACACTCAGAATCCCATTTGCTTTCATTCCTCTCCATCCTCCTGGATGGTAGTTTGGGAATGGACAGACTCCCCACGGGTACCACTCTCACAGCTCCTTGGACATGTCCCCACACGCTGCAATGTCTGAACACCCTGCTCCTGTCTCTTGAAGCACCTGTGGCCCGGCCATGAGGCTCAGTGCTCTGCTGGCTCGCAGCGGGCTGTCCAACCTGGAGGGAGGTGCTGGCCCACGAGGCCTTTCCTGTGGATGCCTCATGGGACCCCAGCAAGCAGCCCTGACTACACTTGGAGAGGACAAGGGCTTAGAAGAACAAGTCTCCTTGTGAAATTGACACGTTTATTTAATGACCTTTTGATTCGACTTTCTGGAGGCAAAGAGGATTCCCCAGGTCTGGGCAGGGAGGCAGGCCGGCCTGGCCTGGCCCCTAGAGACCCCACAAAGGCCAGGCAGATGCCCATCAGGATAATTCATCCTCTGGTTGCAAGAAGCTAAAATGGTCAAGGGAGGCACTGACTTCGGAGGGGCCGGTACACCAGCAACCACCTAGGTGCTGACGGCGCATCCACTTAACCGGGACCTGGGCCCTTGGGGGCCGCACAAGTGAAGCACAAGGGAAATCTCGGGGTGTCGGTGAGCGGCGCTGGCGGTCTCGGGAGGGGACTCGGATGCAGTCAGAAGCGCGCGGTTCCCGCACAGCCCGCCCTACCTCCTGCTCCTCCTTTCCAACAATGAAGTGCCTGGCCTGTGTGCGGTTAGGTCTCATGCTCTTCCCCTGGGGCTCCCTTCTTCTTAAGGAGGGCAGGGTCAGTGTTGAAGTGAGAGCAGCTCAACGCCAGAGGGCTCGACACTAGGTCTTTTTGACCCTGGCAGAGCTGTGCACACATGAGCTCAGGCTCACCACGACACGTGTGCCCCTTCCTGATGCGCCTCACACACACTCACACACCAACCTAAACAAGCTGGGTTTCATTGTGCAGGAGCAACTGTGAGGTACCAACCAGGCCTCCCCAGCCCCACAGGTCTCAGCACTTCCGAGTCCAGGGGTGAGGGGCCCTGGCCCCTGAGCTCGCAGGGCAGCATCCGCGCCCGCCGGCCTGCAGCGACCGCCACAGAGCCCACCCAGAACCACACAGCTCCAGCCCCTTCTGCTCCAGCGCCAGCGATCCAGGGGTTAGAACCGTTACATGAGGCCACCGAGAGGGTCAAGAGCAGGAGCTGGTACCGGTGGTACCCATGCCAGCCTGAGCATTTGTAGCAGGGGCAGGCCCTCATTGCGCATGCACACGCTCCAAACACAGGCGCGCCACACGACCCACGTATGCGCAAAGCGCCAACCACGCCATTACATGCACATATGCGCACAGCACCACGCACGCATGCGCACAGCACCGACAGTGCATGCGCACAGCACCAAGTGCACAGCCTCCTCGCATGCGCAGGGCACCACCCGCGTCCATGCGCTGCACCACCTGCGCATGCGCCCCCGGGAGGCGTGCGGCCGGCGTATGCACGCCAACTCACCCACGGCGCTCTTCCGCTTCTCTTCCATGTCCTGAGTGCGCGTGGGCACCACGGGGCTGGGCGGCTGCGGTGGAGGGGGCGCGGGGGCCCGCCGCTTCTTCTTCTGCAAGTCTATCTGCGACCCCAGCGACACCTAGGACGGCGAGGAGCTCGCTGTGAGAATGGACGGGGCGGGCGGCGAGGGGGAGGGGGTATCTGGGCGGGCAGCTGGCCTTTAGGGCCACGCGACACTCGGACCTTGTGGGGTCTCTAGGGGCCAGGCCAGGCCGGCCTGCCTCCCTGCCCAGACCTGCGAGAGCCCCCAGCGTCCGTGGATCTGTCAGAGAAAGACGGGAGGGATGGCGCAGCGAAGGGCATCCCGGAACCCGGGCCAGGTGGGCCGCCCAGGAGGCTGCATCCACAGCACTTCTCACAAACCAGTGACGACCCTGCTCCACGTAGTTAGACACCTATACACAACAGGTGGGCCAGGCCTGGCAGAGCCACCCCCCACCTGTGCCTGCGGACCCAGCCTGAGCAGGGCCACCCACACCTGTGCCCGCTGCCCTGAGCAGAGCCACCTCCACTTGTGCATGCTGTACCCGACCTGAGCAGGGCCACGCCCCCTGTGCCCGCTGTACCCGACCTGAGCAGGGCCTGTGCCACCTGTGCCCGCTGTACCGGCCTGAGCAAAGCCAGCCCTCACCTGTGCCTGATGTACCCAGCCTGAGCAGCGCCACGTCCCCCCTGTGCCAGCTGTAATAATGCTGAGCAGAGCCAGCCCCACATTTGCCCACTGTACCCGGCCTGAACAGAGCCACCCCCCAATGCCAGCTGTACCCGGGCTGAGCACTGCTAACACCAGTTGTGCCAGGTAGCCAGGCCTGAGCAGAGCCACCCTCACATGTGCCTGTTGTACCCGGCCTGAGCAGAGTCACCCCCCACCAGTGCCAGCTGTACCTGACCTGACCAGAGCCACCACCATCGATGCCTGAGCAGAGCCCCCACTCCTCACCTGTGCCAGTTGTAACAATGCTGAACAGGGCCACCCCTGTCTGTGCCAGCTTTACCAGGGCTGAGCACAGCCACCCCTTCCTGTGCCAACTGTACCCTGCCTGAGCACAGCCACCCCCAGCCAGTGCCAGCTTTACCAGGGCTGAGCAGAGCCACCCCATCTGTGCCTGCCATATCCGACCTGAGCAGATCCTCAGTGTGCCAGCTGCACTAGTGCTGAGCTGATCCCTCTACCTGTGCCAGGTATACCAGGGTTGGAACTTGATGCTTGCATGTATACACGTACGGTGTGTACCGGCAGTGCACACACTCCGCACATCTACGTAGAGGCGAGAAGAAAGCAGTTACCTTCTTGGGCCTGTTAGTGAACTGTGGGCTAGATGCCCCCAATGTCACTGGATCGCATTTCACTTATCACATTTCTGGTTTAATCTATGCCAGCATTCCAAGATCTGCTAGCCTCAAAATGTTAACTATCATCTGAAGACTAGGGATAAGGGATAATCGGCTAGTGCTATCAGCTGGCCCATGTTCCTCTCACTAGGATCTATAACCATCCTGCCCTACATGGCCTGTAGAGCATGCACAACGAATATACTGATACTGCCCCCCCCACCCCAGTTAGAGTCCAAACCATAAATGCATTGCCCAGCCGTCTGCTCCTGCATACCCACAGGATTGTTTGTCTTCTGGCGTTGGCTCTAGCTTTCTAAATCTTATTGTTCAACTTCCTGATTTTTGCTATTACTGTTGTTCTACTCCAGAAATGGGGACGAGGGTTTAGTCAGTCCCACTCTTACTTTTTCTCTTGCATGCAGACACGGACTTTAATGTTAGCTTCACACTATTTAGGTACATTCAATTAATTCAAATGTAGTTCTATAACAGTTCACCTGTTACCGATGGTTTTGCTTTTTGCAGTTTGTTTGCTGTGGGCAAGTGTGATTCAAAAAAATGAAATGGAAAATCCTAGAAATAAGCAGCTCCCACAGTTTATAAATTACATACCATCCTTCACAGCAGGAAGGGGTCTGCCTTGGTCTTGCCTCTGCTGTACTGGAGATCCACTGTGGACAGGAGTCATCCCCTTGTCCTGTGTGTCCATGCTGTGTCTGGCACCCTCCCATCAGTCACTCCATTGTCAGTTTCCCAGTGTTTGTGTCCCAAAGTTCAAGAGTAGTGTGGCTGGCAGTTGTACTCCAGCATATTGCTACAACTATACCATCTTAGTTGCTAATTCATCATACATTACTTATAAACTGAACTTTATCAAGGAGGCAGTGTGTAAGAAAAATCATCGTATATATCAGGGTCAGTTTTGTACACCCACTGGGGTCTTAGAATGAACTCCAGAGGAGAAGGCAGGCATAGTGTAGATACAAAGTTGTAACAGGTGCTTTAATATGGAACAGGCATCCCCTTTGAATGAGCAGGAGGACTGCGCTGTTCCCTCAGGACCTGCTTTGCTTTCCAACCTTTTCCCTGTTCTTCCTTGTTTTCTGGATCTACTTTCTCCCATTTTGAAAATTCACTGTTTCATTTCAGTAGTGCATCATCTGTGGCATTCTGGGACAGGATGTTACCAGAAGGGTTTCTGAGTCCTTGAACATCTGGAAGATGCCCGTCAATCCCTGCTGGGGGTTGTACATGCCTACGTCACCTCCTGTTATGGAGGTCCCCCAACGCCTGAGCCTTGAGGGCCTTTGCTCTCCTCAGCAGCACGGAGGCAGGACCTGTGCCTTGTGGGTTTACAGCTTGTCCAGATGCAGCTCGGTGTCCAAGCTGTCCTGGCAGACGTCACTGCTTTGCCTCTGTATCCTCATGAGAGTGAGTCAATAATTTCATGTCCATTGGGTGTTAGAAGGGAAATCTTATTAGCTGTTTCTTTCCAAGTTTTCAGCCTCACTGTGAGGTATGTGTGTGTGTGAGAGAAGAGATTTATTTTGTAAAAAAGATTTATAGAAAGAAGGAAAACAGAGAAAGCAAAATGGATTGATTGATTTTTTATCTGCTGGTTCACTCCCCAAATGGCCACAATGGTTGGTGCTGAGCCATTCTGAAGTCAAGAGCCAAGAGCTTCTAGGTCTTCCCTGTGGATGCAGGGGCCCAAGGACTTAGGGCATTACTGCTGCTTTCCAGGTCATGAGCAGGGAGTTAGATCGGACTTGGAGCAGCCAGTGCCCATATGGGATACCAGTGCTGCAGGCTTACGATTAGCCTGTTATACCATCCTGGCCCCTCACTGTGGTGTAATTGACAAACACACACCGTAGGTATGTGGGGTACATGAGTGGATATTCACGTACACTGTGAAATAATCCCACCATCGAGCACATCTACCGCAACACACAGCTGCCACTTTCTTTGTGCTAAGGACATGGAAGATCTACTTTTTTTAGCAAAATGTAAGCTGCTTTTCAATAAAGATTTATTTATTTGAGATGGACACACAGTTTTAAAAGTATCTGTTATTTCACCAGACTGATGGGCCGTGATTAATTTTCCCCTTTGTTTCAGTCACATATCAGGCTAAGTTTCTGCCTGTGATGCTGGCACCCCACGTGGGCCAACAGTTCGAGTCCGAATTGTTCCACTTCTGACTCAACTTCCTGCTAATGACTGGCCCTGGAAAGCAGTGGGGGATGGCTCAAGACCTTGGGGACCTGCACCCGTGTGGGTGGCCCACAAGACACTCCTGGCTCCCAAAGTTGGACCGGCCAAGTTCTGCTGGTTTTGGCCATTTGGGAGAGTGGACCAGTGGATAGAACACTGTCTCCCTCTCCATAACTCGTTCAAGTAAAACAGATCTAAAAAAGTAAATCCCTTTGCCCTTAGCTAAGGACTAGGGTTTGTCTTGCCTATTGAAAAGTCAAACTTCTCAAAGCACTCTTGTAGTTTTGTTTTTCACACATTTCTGTTTTTGTTCTTTTTGGACTTTTAAAGTAAATTCATTTATTATAATTCTTGAAGTGAAAAATATGTTTATTGATAGTTGGTCACTGGATTCTAAATTTGCTAGCCTGGTTTTAAGAATTATTGTCATGCAGGAGTGGCATTAGCCAGATGGGAACAGAGTAACCCCAGAGAGACCATGAACTGGCAAAAACATACAGTACAGACCCTGTCAGTGAGAAAGCTGGAAATCAGCAGGTAGTCACAGTACCCCTGCCACGCTCAAAGCCAAGAACAGCTACACTGAGATGCTACAAGAGCCAAGAACAGCTGCACTCAGATGCTACAAAACACCACTTCACCTTGCCTGTACTGCCAACTCAGATTGGCAGGACCGGACACGGGCCCCAGCAGGCCTTCAGATTGGCAGGACCGGACACGGGCCCCAGCAGGCCTTCTGTCTTGGGAGAGAAGGGGTACAGGACACTTGTCCATCTTCCTGGTTTCACAGGGGCCTTCTGAGGGCTAGACCTTTTGACTTGCCTGCTTTGCAGTGCTGATGAGGAACTCAAGTTCTTCAGGTGCTGGGCCCACTGAAAAAGGAGGGCTCAGAGGCATGTTGTGGCAGGAGAGATCTGGTAGTGCCATGGAGAGAAGGAACCTGCCCCGCAGTTTTGCCCTGTTCCAGGTCTCTTGACTAAGAGTACAGAAGGGACACTGGATTGTCTCAGGGACAGCAGAGATTAGTAGCAGAGCTAGAAAACCTACAGTACCAAAGACGGCCACAAGGTGGGGCCTGTGACAACACCCACAAATCTAGGGATGAGGCACTCCAGAGAAGCTGTGAGTCCTACAGAGATTCTAGGTGGACAGAGTGACCTCGAATGATCTGTGACAAACCACTCTAGAACGACTGCAGAAGGCGGCTTTGTTTTTAGAAGCACATATCCCAAAACATGAACAAGGTTCATGAAGAAACAGGAAGAGCCCAACAGGAAGAGTCAAATCAATTTCTAGGAACCAGTCCTCTTACGGTGGATATGCATGACCCGAGCATGGCTCACTTAAGGGGCATCTGAAGTTGTCAAACTGCAAGAATCAGAAAGCGCAGCAGTGGCTACTGGCACCGGGGTGGGAGGAGGGAGTGATTGATGAGAGGGTGTGTTACTCAAGATGAAAACACGCTAGAGCTGCTTTATGAAAAGTACATGCAGTTAGTACTGCTGCACAGTTAAAAACGGCTAAGAC